TGAACTTCGGGCTACCCTAACTTCCTAACACTGCAAGGGTTAAGTGCTTGTTTTGGTCTGGTAGGGTCTAAAATAAAAAATATATTCTCACCCGATCCTCAGTCCCACAGCGGTGACAGCTCACCTCTCTCTCCCATCAGGGCCGGTTCACACCATAAAGCGTGCGTTCCAGAGCATTCGGCCTCTGCAACGCAACCCAGCCGGCTCACTTTGTTTTGGGGCGTGAGGGGCGGTGCATTGAAGCAATGACACCACAGCCACGACCCCTGCTAGCAGTGCGATCTTCGGCACCGAATGCGCGGCACATTAGTGCCTGCGTTCCGTTTCCAGTGCGATCTGCAAAAATAGAGCTTGCAGCATTTTTGCAGATCGCACCGGACCGGAACGCAGGCATTAATGTGCCACGCGGTCGGGGTGATCGCACTGCAGGCGTGGGGGGTGGCTGCGGTGCCATTGATCTCAAAGCACCGTTTGCCACTTCTCGCCCCAAAACAAAGTGAGCCAGCCGGGTTTGCGTTCCAGAGGCCGAATGCTCTGGAACGCACTTTTTATGGTGTGAAGCGGCCCTCAATCCAGGTGTGGAATGCCCGTCGGCGTCCATGCAAGTGAATGGATGTGATGATGTCATAGGTTCTTAGACTGCCGGAGCCTGGGGCAGAAGAGACTGCGGGGACCAGTCTAGCATCCAGGTGGGACCACGGATCAGGTGAGTATATCTTTTTTTAATTTTAGACTGTAGACCAAAACGAGCACCTAACCCTTGCAGTGGAGGGGTAGTCCCACTGCAAGGGTTAATTTTTTATATCCCTGGAGTTTTTTATAAATTTTGCTTTATGGCAGAAACATATTGCTTTCCATCTCTGTACTGGCAGATCATCTGAGGCAGTGCCACAATTCGGGAATCCCTTCCCATACTGAGGCACTGGAAAATGGGCCTATGATGCTTCTGTGTAATATGAACTGCTCAGTCTTACATGACTGAGCTATTCCAGCCCAGGAGTGAGAGGCAGTGGGATCTGTACAAGCACATGACTACAGAGCTCATATAGATGCATATGTCAATCAAACATGGAGCAGAAACAATATGGTGGTGCAGGTGGAATACATTTTTATTTTTAAAAGTCCAGTAGCAGTTTTACTTTATCAATCCTTTTATAACTTATTCTGTAGTATTCGGGTCATTCATGCATACTGAGGTTTTGTCCGTCCATATATCTAAAGCTAGCCATACACGGCTAGTTTTCTCAATTGATTCCACACTGCACTGCCTGCTATTGTATTCAGCAGCTGCGTTACCCGCGGCTGCCTAAATATAGTGGTGCTGCTGTAATGACTCGTGGCCCGTCTTCCTGATTGGCCAGCTTCGACCAATCAGGAAGACGGGCAACGAGTCATTACACAGCGCCCAGCTTCCTGATTGGGCAGAAAGCAGGCTCCATGCTTCCTCATCACTTGGTGCCGAGGGAGCATGGAGACGGCTTTCATGCTAATCAGGAAGCCAGGTGGCGAGTCATTACACGCCGCCTGGCTTCCTTAATGGGTCTTCAGGTATCCGTATTAAGGCATCGGCGAGTACCGGAAAAAAATATCGGTACTCAATATCGAAAAAAACGGTATGGGTGCATCCCTAATTGGAAATAAAGGCATTTGCAATACAAACACTCCCAGTGAGAATGAGCCTGGAATGTTTGGCACTTGCAAATATACGACCATGACATGGAAACTGTCTCCAACACCTTCTGTCTATGAGTGGATAAAGCCAATAAATAATGTATTGCCATGGTAGGTTTACCTAGGAAGGAACCGGATGCCAAGTCTGATAAGGTCTGGGGGCCTTGGGTGATGGCTGATAGACGGACATATAAATAGGACTGCAGAGCACTAGAGCTGATAAACACTGACAGCCCTGAGCAGTAGTTGCCGAGGTGCACAGGGGGAGTTTGATGTTTCTGTCTAAAGCTGGGTACACATGGTCAAAATATAACAGATTCCTCCATCCATGCATGACAGAATCTCCCTCCACGTACATGTCAGTATACCTGAACAGTGCTTGCAGCTGATTGGCTGCGCGCACTGTTCGGCTGATGATTTTCCAGCATGTCCCTTCAATAGAAGTCAATCTAAAGATAAGGTGAATATGAATCTTTGAGACATTTTACAGGCAGAAAAGCTATTTGGGGAAGTTGGGAGAGTGCTGGAAACGTATTAAAGACCAAATCCACTTATCCTTTTTGCCCCCCTCTTCTGATCTAACAGATTTCACTGTCGGCCTCTGCAGATCTCTACCAACCTCCAGCTAATGCCTGCGGCCTCCAGGCGTCATTTAAATTCTGTGCCACGCTTTCTCTCCCTTTTGGCATCACTTGGTTAATCAAGCCTCATAGACTTCTGTGGGTTGGTCTACCTCCATATCCCAGCTGGGAGACAAGGTCCATAGATGTGTATAGGGTTCTAAGAGTCTTGTAGCTGCACCACAGCTGGGGGGCCAAGGATTATCGGGAGAGTAATGTAAACGTACCAAGATCAATCCCAGAGACAATTAATAGGTGAAGAGCACCTATCCCTTTTGCCCCCTAACTGATCTTACCCTCCCCCTCCTTTAGAGGGGGAGGAATTTGTAGTTTCACCACAACTGGGGATGGCCTACCCCTGCTTTAATGCAATCAGCTTTGAAAACGTCTGGCCATTTGCCAGCGACACCATGCTGTTAACGTCTTGTGATTGCAAAGCCCGTCTGGGAGAGGCTTTCCCTGGTCCGTGTCATAGACATGGAGAGCACAAGGGGGCTGAGTGGCACTATGAGTTGCTTGTTGTCTTTGGGAAACAGTCAGTTTCCATTGCTGGACAACCAGGGTACGGACAGATGTCAGACATGGTGTTATGCAGTTATCACGGCACATGTGTTTTATGGCTATCGCTTCTCTGCCTTTTGGCTAAGATCAAGTGTAGTATCTGTTCTTAGCAGTTTTCGGAGAACGGTGCCATCTCTGAAGAAGCAAAAGGCAGACTAGTATTCCCTGGAGCTTCCGGAGGCAGAACGCT